GGCGGGGGTCCCTGTGCCAATGCGTAGACCACCGTCTGCTTGGAGGAAGCCAAAACGGGGAGGGGGCAGGCGAAGGGTGCACAAATGTGCCCTCCATACGCGCGTAGGTGTTCGGCTCTTGAAGGAGGGGGAGAAACCTCCGACAATCAGCTTACGGACAACTACCGCCTGCTGTGTTAGATAGAGAACCTCCTATAACGTTCTGTTCAGAGCTTGCCGGCAAAGACAAGGCCAGGAGTCGGTGCGTACGTGTGTGAGTGCACGATCGGTGAGGCGCCCAGCGACACAGAAATCATCAAAAGCAGGGTTTGTAGAAAATCCATCCTAACAGGATAGAAAGGGCAGAAAAAGTAGTAAATAAAAGGCCTTTGAAAGTAAACTAGTGCGCAGAATCATCAACAGTATGATAATCTCCTACATAAACTCAACGAAGTAAGCACAAGCATTTTTTGTGTGTTTGTAGAAAGCATAGTCAGGACTCCTGTTACTAATGTTTCCTAAACTTAGGAGACAAGAACACGCGCTGGTGCTACTCTCATCCGATTCCTTTGTGTGCTTTAACGCATTCAGACATGACTAAAGATGCTTTCACGTGTACCTGGAAAAGTGAGGGAGAAAAAATTAATATCCATAAGCTGTGCAAGAAGAAGGTTCGATTAGCAGTTAACAGAAAATTATTTGCGTTTGACAGAAAAACTAATACATCTGCCAGAATGAAAGGAAGTGCTATGTGGTTGGATAGGAAACCTATTATGACACGGTTACTGCAAGACTGCTCTGACATCATTGTGATAAATAAAATAGTTTGCATGCTAGACGGGAATAATGAAGCACTGCGAAGGTAGAGAATACTATCCGAGTTATGTTAGGATTTTAATGAACTGGTGGCAATTTTATCAGATCTGACTAAAACGTCAAAAGGTCAGTTTAGGGAGCCTGTACAACTGTAAAGTTTGGAAAACTACGTTTACAGAATTTATAAAACCAAATAACGCATATCATGTGTGTAAAGTAGGCTTGGTCGAGAATAATACCATTATTTTATGAAAGTTCGTGGGACAGCCTTATGAAGGCGTCCATTTAGGAGGTTCCGCGCCACGTCCACTTCAAGAAGAACAATGAGAGGCACAGTTTTATTGCGTATGTGGATCTTGCTGGTGCTTCTAGTGATACTGCTTGGTGAAAATCTGTCTTGCTAACCTTTATCACGAAATAGAACCATAACTCTAATAAGTTCCTTTTCGGCGATGCGATATTATGAAAATGACTTTTTTCACTCTTTCCTCTAAAGCACTAGCCCCATTACGCTTACACTGTGGACGTAAAAATAGTCAAACCTCATACATTATTCAGTAGATCATCATGCAGGTGTCACCAATGGTGCACACTTGTTGTCTAAATGGCCAGGAGGAAGAAGGTGAAACAAATTTATTCCGGGATTGTCAGTTTTGTGCAGAAAAGAATACGTCCCAAACTGCGATAGAAGTGTCTAACAAAAGCCGCATCGTGAAACATTCTCTACTGGTTTGAAGTTTTTTCCATTATTGTTGAAATATGTAGTTTGCAGTAAGAGTTTACCGCACCAGAGCTGTAATAAGGAAAATTGACCGTGATCTGTTTCTAATTTAGTAACTTCTTAACGCTTTAGTAGACAAATATGAAAAGAACCGTCCAGACAGTAGTGAGATGAAACTGAACTTAAGCTTACATGGTCCGACTGCATTTCAAGCACCTTTTTTCTTTCGAAAATATGCCATTCGACAGGTTACTATCCATTCAATTTTTCTACATTAGCCTTTATATATGTATGCATTTATTTACGCTTACGATATAGGTTGAAGGATATTACCGACGAAGTGAGACTAGTATAGGCATTCCTACCTTATAAGCCATTGTCGGCCATTCCTAACCAGCCTACGTGTTGCCACGTGTATTGTGCCCCACTCGTGATTCGAACCCACGACCTTGTTAGTTAGAAGTTGTACGCTTATTTGCTACTGTATGCTTCTGATCAAAAACAGGCAATACAACGAGCTCATGGCGCACTGGTTAGAGCGTTGGTCCTCTAACTAACATGGCCACGGGTTCAAATCTCAACTGGGGCGCCTCATGTGAGGCTGGATATGGCTAGCTGACGACGGCTAATAATCCAGAAACGGCGATCTAGTCTGCCTCGTCAATGTCGGTAATGTGCCTCTGCCTATATTATTAGTTGCCTTGCAAAGTAGGCTTGAGTGTGAGCCCCAAAGGCGGCAGGCTAGACGGGTGTGTCCTGCAACTGATCCGCTGCTATATTTTCGTTTGTGCACTTTATCGATTTCAGAGGTCGAATGTCCTTTTCTGTAAAATTTGTTTATTATATCCTGCATTCGTGGGAAACCGGAAAGTGCTAACTTAAATCGTTTTCGTGACTAAATAGAACTTATAAAGACTTTAGACAGTTGAATCGTTCGCACGTTTGGTTGAAGCTTAATATTACAATGAAATAATATTTAGTTTAATTGTATGTAACCTTGTAGCCGCTCGTAAAATGAATGGAAAATTTGAGTACATATATGTCATTATTCTTTTTAGGAGCAATTTATTTATATTTGTGTTTGATAGTAATCACGTCCGTAGATTTCTTTTGTTCCTGGTATAAATAGCCGAAAGGTAAGAAAACGAAACCAATTGGATTATTGTTGAACAACTTTAAGGGTGGATGAGAATTACTCCAAGTAGTTTCAGACCTTAGCAAGGCACCTGACGATGGCAGAACTCAAGATCACTCTATGAAAATGAAGTTCAATGAGCTTTGCCGTGTTCATCTGAGATTTGGTTATACGGACGGCAAGGGAGGGCTTGATCCTCTTGAAGACGACTAGTTTAAGACAATTATTTAGACAATCAACTTAAACGAGAGACGGCCAAGAACATACGTCCTAAGCATCCAACATTTATTCTTCCTGTCAATCAGATCGGAAATTTGAAAAACACAATTAACTGGTTCCACAGATGGCAAAAGAAAGTCACCGGTTTTTATTCCTCTTTCTTGACAAATTTTCCATAGCCTAAACGCTTCTAACTTTTACGAACAGTAGGTATCGTATGGCAAGTGCAGTAGATGGAGCTTAAAATTTATTTTAAAAACGTCGCTTTATTTAAACTTCCTATGGTGACCGCCGAGAGGTCCTCCTCGTCAATTGTCTCTTGCAGTTCTTGGTTCTTCGAGAGCACACTACAAGTAAATGTATCGTTAGGAAGCTAACACAATGCACCAGAATTTACTCAATATGCACATCTATCAATAAAAAATTTAAAAAAAGAATTACTTTTCGCCATCGCAGTTTTCCACAACACTTTTAATACAGGTACTTCAAAGGCCGAAATGGGCGGGATGCTAACGTCTTCGTTACCAAGTCCATTCAAAATGGAAGGGTTTACTGTAGAATGTCCGTGACTGTCTATGCTTATTATTCATTACTTATATACTGTATGGCAGTTTATATTAATTAAATCTTGATATATTTTACATAAATGGTCCAAGGGTGCCTCTTTTGGGAATAGGCCATACAATGTAAAGCCGTTTTTTTATTGTTAGATGGGCTTACGGTTATAGTCAGTCTGCCAGTACAAAGAAGAAGAAGTAAGAATATTTGAGTATCTTAACGGTTAAAACTAGTTCTTAAGTGTAGTTTGCGCTTAAGTATCTTTCAAGAATACGTGTGATATCAGGAGCGGCCCTTAACAAAAGGCCTCAAGTTCGATTATATTTTTCTACACGGTTTCACGAGAATGGGTTGTTTTCTCTTTCTACAGCTTCTAGATTGTTTGAGATGCAGTTCAGTAAAGCAGAGTGGTTTGGCTTGCTTTTGGTTATGGGCCGTGGCGGATATAATCATATTCATAAGGTCATACCTTGACAGGCCGGCCAGTGACTGGTGCATTTAAACAGAACTGTCGGATCGACATACCATTTTGTACACAGTTTGAGCACTTTCCTTTCCTCGAATTTCGTTGATATACTTATTTTGTTGGATTATGAGGTCCTTCTAGTATTCCGCGAAAGAGAGGGTAGACACGTCGTGATTTTCAATGTTTTAAATTGATTACTTGTAAATGAAGATTCCATTCTATTTATTTGGAAAACAATTAAAAGCCGATATTTAAAAAAAGTCGTTACTAATATAATGAATTTTTGGGCGTTCTGTCTAAGTAAACTGGCAGTTTAACCTACATATGTAGCCCTATCCAAGCCCTAAAACTCCCTTTGGAGAAAAATAAACGTCTAAACACAAATTGCCCATTATGAGTTACCCATTAAAACGGCGCCCTCGTGAGATGTTCCAATATTCCTCCACGTAGTTTGACATTTTCCACGAATGACTGAAAGTAAGCATTATAAAGGTTCGATATGTAAATATAAGTCACTGTATGCTGGTACCGTGACCCTCGTTCGAATTGAAGAATTATTAGCCCGATTTTTCAATATGAGTTATTAGCATGCACAATTATTAGCGTTTTGAATTTTGTCACAAGGAAGTGAATATTTCAGTAATTGTTGTTTCGAGTTTATCACTAGGACCCTTTTCTGCAGTTTAAAACCGAGTTCTCTTAATAGCAGGCTTTGCATTGCGTGCCGCACGACTTTGAAAGTCGGCAGATAGATGCAAATGGACGTGCCTCCTATCATTGCCGAAAATAATTTTAAAGCGTTCTTAAAAGAAGGAACGTTTGTCATTGCATGTTGGCGCATGCAATGCGGCAGGATAAAAAGCAAAAATAGCTGCAATTAGAGAGAACGTCATTTGCTTTGCGTGGGTCCAGAACTCTCACTGTTATCCGTCACGGAAGAACCACTAACTTGCCAGACAAGGTGACGCCTAAATTTTCATGTTACTGTTCAAAAGGTTATGTGCCCAGCAGCACAGCTACGGCATATGTGGTTGGAACAGCCTTTTGAAATGGCGGTCCCTCTCTGTTGGATGTTAATCTTGAACTTTGCGATGGCTCTGACGCCACCCAAGCTAAACCTATACCTTGAAGACATCGATGAGCTTTGCTGGCCAGAGGGAAAGGTTTACGATATCTTCGACACAATCATGACCACAGTCGACTACGCAGCCGCCCACACAAATGGTCAACTAGAATCAAAAGACGTTGATTTTGCTTTAACTTTTGTCTCCGGCTGTAGTCTGGTCGAGGCAAAACATGTTTCCAGTGTTATTAGTTTCTTGAGAGATGCTTGTTCCCTGGCAAACTCCAGTGCTGGTTATTCCGTTTTCTTGGGCCCAATACTTGGAAGCAATTGCCACTCCGTCACTGATTGGATTGCCCTCGGAGCCGTACCATCTGGAGCCCAAAGCAACCTCTATCAGATCAGCTATCTCTGCCAAGATATCGAATCTTTTAGGCTTTTTGAGAAGGTTCAAACCTGCCACTCAGATAAGATCTTTTTGGCTGTGAATATAAGAGACCGTACATTAATTCGAAATTTGATTTTGTTCCTGAGACAGAATATTTTCGTGCTATTCGAGGCCAGTCCGTTGGTTTTGACGTACTCGGCACTTGCACAGAAGGTAGAGCTGTATATGACAAGATTAACACCTGACAAGGAGCGATTCAATGTAGTCAAAGTTTACAATTTTCAGTTGCACAGCGACCCTCGGGAGCTTGTCGAGTGGTTTTGTAATCCTTGTGAAGGTAA